TTTTATTAGTAATTCTGTTATTTGGCTAGGATTTTTCTCTTCTAATAAAGCTTGAGCTAGTCTATAAATTCTACTTTAATTAAGATTGTATTGGTATTCTGCATTCTGGCTAGATTTGGTATAATGTCTAATTCTTGTCCAAATTTCATAATTTTTATTGTAAATTAGATCTTGGTATACTTTATATGCATATATGTGCTCTAATTCATAAAACCAAAGCTCTTCTTGAATGCTTTCTAATTGATACATTCTAGTTCTAGGTTTCTAATAATTACAAACTTTACAATAGACAAGAGTTTCTCTTCCTAGTCCAGTTCAATAAATTCTTAACTACATAGATCATTCAATTCTAGTTCTTCGTGGAATGTTTTATAACAAACAGTACAGATAAGCTGGTTGTCTAAAAGATATAACTTGTCTGGTGTCTGTAGAGTTAGGCATTGATAGCAGTAGTGAGTTCTATATCTGCTATAATGATCAAGCCTTTTTGCTTCTATCTGAGTTCTATACAACCACAACAATAAGTTAGGTTGTCTAATTTCTGTTGTGCTAAAGGACAATTAATTTCAATATGTCCTAATTGCTTACAAACAAAACACAAGTTCTGGGGCAGTTCTTGAATAGGTGGTCAGTTTGGTTGCAATTTTTGCAATTGGCTTTTCTATTTTGTTTGTTTGAGTAGTTAATAACAATATGGCCCATTTTATGGCAATATTTATATTTATTCTAAAGACAATCTTTATACTGGTGGTCTCTAAAACCACAACTTTTATATTTCGATAGGCTTCTATGCCAGATGTATAGGTAGTTCATCCTTCTTCTCCTTTATTTGTTGTAGAAAAAGTATAGACTTCTTAAGGGATCAAATAATCCTGTTTGTATAGTTTGAAGTCTTCTGGGTAATGCAAGTAGGTTGCTTTTCTTTGGGCTTTTCTTACTCATAAGAAGTATCAATTATAAGCTTCTTTCTTTTCCAATACATAGTATATTGGCAATTTTTCCAGTTATAGTTTGCTTCAACTTTTCTAAACCAGTCATTTTTCAAAAGTAACAAATATGAAGTAGCAGGTACTACTTTTATATCAATGGGAATAGTTCTACCTTGAATCTTGACAGGTAGGTTTCTAATAATTTCAAGAGGTCAAGAGGTAGTCCCTGTGGTAGCTACAATTAAACTTCTTGAAGGTTCATCTATTTTTAGTTCTAATTCTTTTACAACTTTGTGAGCAATCATACTAACAGAGGCTTCACTATTGATAATAGCAAGGTAAGTATGATCTTTCAAGTCTACAAAACATTTGACAGAGGTAATATTGTTGTTGTCCTCAGTAGTTGGTTTAGTGTTTCTCGATTCATTTTAGTAATATAGGTGGTAAGAGCTATATGAATAGAATGGTTGTCTAGAAATTTTTCCCAATTGTAGAGTTTAGGGTTAGATTTTGATGTTTCAGCCATGTTTATATTTTGATAGTAGAGTGAGGGTGAGTGATGAGATCTGGGTCCATATCTGTCTTGGCTCCTATCTCTAGATCTGCTACTATCCTGAGAATAGTTTCTATTTTTGCTTCTACTCCTATATTTTTCACATGATTGACTTCTATTTCTGGATCTTCTATAATCATTAGATCTATCATTATAGTTGCTTTTTTGATTATAGTTGCTATTTCTATTTCTTCCATTGTTTCTATTTCCTTTAGATTTTCTTTGATAACAGTTGGCCATATAATGTCTCTTTTTACTGCAATATTAACAATTAAAATTTTTTCTGTGTAAGCTTTATTTCATTTCTGCAATATAAGCTAGTTTTTATTGTTGTTACTAGACAAGCTTAAAACTTAATTGAGCAATTTGGTCTGTAAGTCTGGCAATTGCTTCTTTGGTGTCTGTTTCTGAAGCAGTAATGTGTTTTCCTGTTTCCCAATTTCTGGCAGCATTTATAATAATATCAATATTATCTAGGCCAGCTGCTTGTACAGGCATAGCATACTTAGATTATAATTCTTGGATAAAATGTTGTTAGATTAATGCTAGGAGTAAATCTGTAACTTTTTGGTTAAGATTCTTAAATTTTGCAATATATGCATCAACTGAATCACTTCTCTGTTTGAGGTTGAAGAATTGTTGTTGCCATATAGTTTTTTGTTGAGTAGTACAAAACTTATCTATAAATAAAGTTTTGAAACTGGTGGCTTGATTTGCTGGGTCATTATATGCTGTAAGTTGGACAGCAGTAAATCCACGGACCCATTCAGCAGCAATTCTCTTCATGTATGCTTTTGCTACTTCAAGTTGTCAAGCTTCTTTTCAATAGTTAGCTTGTCTAGCACATTCAAATTTATCTAATTAGTCGAGTAGATCTTGGGTACTATCTCTTGTTAAAGAATCTATTTTGACAAGATTCTTTTTACTAGTTCCTCTTCTTTATAAAGCTTCAGCCAACCTGGTCATTGCTTAAGCAGCAGCATTTATTTCTTCAATATTTATTTGTTCTTCATTATCAAGAGGTGCTTTGATATTTTGGAGTATTTTTTCTGGTACTTCGTTATCAGCGATAAGAATATTATTAACAGGTGCTTCATCAAGTTCGTTGTTATTAACTTGTTTCTCTGGTTTATTATGAACAGTATCAGAATTAGAGTCTCCTTCTTTTTCTGGGGCTAGATCAGATAATTGAAAGAGGTCAAGAATTCCTATAGATGGTTTACTTTCTTGGGTTATATCTCTTTCTTGTGAGAAATTTAATAAATATGTAGGTGGAGTTACAAGTGGAGTATAGGCTATATTATTAAGAAGAACTTCTTGAAATTGAGTTGGGTTTAATGGATAAATTCCAGGTAATTGAGGTCAAATTCTATCACAGGTATGATGAATAGTAATGAACTATGCCTTCTAAATAGAGATTAATAAGGTTGATAAGGTGAGTTATTATGTTTTTTTCTATCACCACTATATGGGTTTAAAGTATTTACAATTTGTTGAGTAGTAATAGCAGTTACAATATTAGGATTATTATAAGTAGTAATAGTAGTATCTCGTCAAGGGGTTTGGTAAGTAAATTGTCCTAAAGTTTGAGAAAAATTCTGATGTACAATAGGTCCAATATATAATCTTCTATAGTTAGAGTTATCAATATAATTATCTTAGAGATTTCTGTCAGGGTATCGAATTTCAGGAATATCTTGGATATATGTATATCTATAAAATAAGGTGGCAACAATATCCTTTGCACTGCCAATATTTGCTCTATATTAGCAACTAAAAATAATATTTCTAACAGCAACTCAAGCAACCAATAGTTCATGTATTTGCAATAATCAATTAAGATTGTTTTGAGTAATGCAAGTATAGGATTTAGCATGATAACTAGTAGAGTACCAAGTTCAGAAAATACCAAAGTTAAGTCGAGGGCTAATATGGTTTGGTTAGAAACACTTGGTACAAGAATAATCAGGTGTATTGGTTTGCAGTACAGAGTAGCAAAAGCAGAGTTAAGTTGGTATTGTGCTTGGTAATTAACAATATTCTGGTTATGAAATTCTGTTACAGAATCTTCAATAAAAAAAATAATAATAAATTTTGAATAGTTTAGTAGTAATGCGAAAGAAAATTATCTTTTAGAGATAATTATAAATATGATAGTTAAATAATAAATATAATAAAAGTAAATAGAAATATAATAATAAAAAAGTATGTGCATGAAGAAAGATTTAAACAATTATAAAAAAAGAGTAATGATATCAAATAACAATTTCTTTTTTTTTTTTTTTTTTTTTTTTATAAAGGAAGGGAAAGTAGGGAATGTATTGTAATAAATGTTAATTAGTTAGTAGATGAACAGGTGT